TCATGGAGCTGAAGGGACGGGGCGATGAAACTTGCTTCTGTGGGTGTGACAAAGTGGAAGGGGTGGGTCCAAATGAGTCGTGGGATGTAGGGATGGAGCAGATGCTACAGTGCTTGCCTAGCGCGTGCGAGGCCAAGTTTGACCCCCCAGCACTGCCTAAGTCAGGCGTGGTGGCTGCCAAGCTTCTAATCCCAGCATCAGGGCGTTGAAGTCAGAAGGATCAAAAGCTAAAGGTCATCTGTGGCTACATGGTGAATTCCAGGCCATTATGGGATACATGAAACCATATCTCAATTTTTTTTAATAATTTTTTTTTTTTAAGCACACTAACTAGGTTTGTAGCACGTTAGTCAACTTCTCTCACAGGGAGCAAGGTGATGGACTAACTACACAAGGAGCTATTTTTGCTGGTATAACTAATAAATTCCCCCGTAAGTGCAGCCACGTAAGTAAGCCAACAAGGCAATAGAAACCAAAATTAACGGCCCCCCACCTCCCTTCACCCTTGTCGGTGACAGAAGGAACACGGGTCACTCAGAAGGAAGATGGAGCCTTGCTGCAAATCCCACAGAAGCCAGAATGGCTGGCGAGAAGGTGGGTCTTGGTTTGCAGACTATCTTACCTTGCTCAGACTGAAACCCTTCAGTCCCTCCCTGTGTGGAGCGTGTGAGGGCAAGCCAAGCCAGACAGAAAGAACAGCGCGATCAAGAAGTGGCCGTTCCAAAGCTCCAGCCAATTAGATATCTGCCAACAGTGATCGCTCAACTGAGTCAATTCTCCCTGGCTGACGGCATTGACCCCTGCTGGGTGCGGGGCCAGGTGTCCTTCCTCTAACCAGTCCTGCCCTGTGACTGAGGTCTGTGAGGGGCAGGCCCATCCTTTCACTCAGTGTTGGACGGTGACCATGAACATCTGACTGCCAGGTGAGAAGGAGGGCTCCTTGCTAGCTCTTTGACTAAGAAGTTTCCTGAAATGGGAAGTAGCTCCTAAGAGAGCTAAATCGGCTGGGGGGCTGTCTTCAAGGAGCAGCAGGGGGCTGGGGGTGTTGAGGCACCAACAGTTTCTTCTTGGCCATTGGGATTACTGATGTACGTATTCATAGTCTTCTCCAAACTGTCCCGGGACCCTGCTTACCCATGCTTGTGCCTCCCTCAGCTGGCCTGGTGGGGTAAGTGGGACCTCAGAGAACCATTCCCTCAGGAATCAGGCCACAGCATAGGGGACCAGTGAGGCAGCCAGGTGGAGAGGCAGAAGCCAGACACCCACCCAATCCCTGCTCCCTGTCCCGCCCTGGTGTCTGAACCCTAGTCCTTCAGTCTCCTGACTGCCCAGCCTCTGTGCCTCAGAGAGGTTTGACTTCCTGGGTGTGATCCCTGCTGGCCACTCTAATGCTGAAGGGAGCAGCCTGGGAGGATATGGGGCATCCTGGGATGTAGGAAGGGAGCCGTGTGCCCGGGAGCAAGGTCAGCTGCCAGCCTGCCCGTGCCAGGCTCCCTGCCAAGCACTTGGTTTAATCCTCAGCGTTAGTTCCCACCCTCAGGAGTTCACAGATGAGGGAGTATGCTAATTTAAGAGCCCAGGGTGAATCTAGATCTCTGGGCTCCAAGCTCAAGGTTCATCTTGTGACGCACACCACGTTAAATCCTTGTTTAGAGGCTAGGGCCCCGGAGGCTGCGGGGTAAGGCAGATCTGAAAGAGCCTACTCACTGCTGGATCAGTGCACCTCTGGCCTGCTTCTGGATGCCAAGAAGAAGAAAAGGCAGAGGGAAGGGGTGGGGGCATGAAAGGAGCCACTGAAAAGGACAGAGGGATCGAAATGGATAAGATCCTTTTCCTTCATTGAGGCTGAGGGTGCCCCCGTTGCTGGAGGGCTTCTCTCCAGGCTCCACCAAGCCCCGCAGTCCCACAATCCACGTATAAAATAATCACTCAGATGCTTATATTATTTATAAACTGTATGGCCGTGGTAGGCTTCTTGTTAACTGTTTTTATATCTTAAATTAACCCATTTCTAGAAATCTATACCTTGCCACGTGGCTGGTGGCTTACTGGCGTCTTTATATGTTGCTTGTCCTGGCAGTGGCTTCAGTGTCTCTCCCCCTTCTTCCTGTTTCCCCAATTCTCCTCTCTCTTTGTCCCGCCTATACTTCCTGCCTGGTCACTGGCCATCAGTGTTTTATTTATATAGAGTGATATCCACAGCAGCCCCCCTTCAGTATCAGCTCTGGCCCCATCCCAGTCTTGCTCAAGGTAAACATTTATTTTGTGACCAAAGGGGTCCAGAGCCCAAACAGTGGGTATTGGATCTCTGTCAGATAAGCAAGCTTTGAAGACCCTGGGGTAGTAAGATTTCCTATTGAAAAATGAATAATATGAAATAGTATACAGTTAGGAGGAAATAAGGAAAAATCCTGCTCTCTGTATATTTCTGCACATGCAGTGGTCGGTGCCTAGGATGACTGAAGGCCAGGTGTGGAGGTGCACACCTGTAATCCCAGGACTTGTGATGTGGAGGTAGGGGGATTGGACATTTAAGGCCATCCTCAGCAACACAGTAGGTTCAAAGCCAGCCTGGGTGAGATGAGACCCTATTCTTCCAACCCCAAACAGAAAAAGAAATTTTCCAAGAGCAGGGGGAATCCCTGTCTCCAATCTCTTTCTTTTCCAGATTTCCAAGATAGCCAGTGTGCGCCTCTGTGTGAGGAGGAGTATCTTTCGTGTATGTCATAAAGGATCATTAATTATTAAAGAGATGTTGCTAATCCTGTCCTGTAGGTTTAATGTTAAGTTTGAGGCCTGAAGACAAAAATGTTGTCCCTCAACTCTGCACGTGCTGCCTAGGAAGGAAGGGGAAAGGGAGAGAGGGAGGGAGGGAGGAAGAAAAGGAAGGAGGGAGGGAGAGAGGGAGGGAGGGAGGAAACGGTGTGATTTCGGTTTGCTTTTGTGACTGTACAACACTTGGACCTGACATCCCCCACCCCACCCCACCCCCCCGTTTGTGACAGTGACGCTGCTTTCTGTGTCTTCCAGTTTCAGAAGATGAGTGCCAATCCCTTGAGGAGAGGAGGCTGAGACACAGTGTGAAAACAAATCACCAGTGGCTGACAGAAAGAGGAGCAGGGGACAACCAAGGTGGCTTCCTAGAGGAGGCAGCCAGAAGCAAGGCCCAGAAGAGGCTGGTGTGGGAAAGGGCAGGAGCCAGAGGGCCTGTGGCCTTGAGTGGGCCTGGATCCCCCACTTCCTTTTCCCAAAACTGAGCTGTCATCCCACCTCAGCTGTGGCCCTGAGCGCTGAGGAAGCCCAGCCTACTCCAGCTCTGGACTCTGCCCAGGAATTTCCACAGAACTGAACAGGCCAAAGCCCAGGCAGGTTGGACCCAGCCCTCCCCACAGCAACCCGTCCGTCCTTCCGTCAGTCCTTCCTGACGCTGCCTGCTCACTACAAATCCGTGAGTAGCACAGGGTCCTCTCCCCCTCTCTGCAGCTGTGGGCCTGCGTGTGCCCAGGCAGGGGGCAGTCCCTGGCCCTCGAGGCGTGCTGAGTGCCTGTGTGTGCCCAGGCAGTGGGCAGTCCCCTGCCCTTGAGGCGTGCTGTGGGCCTGCGTGTGCCCAGGCATCGGGCAGTCCTTGGATCTCGAGGCTTGCTGAGGGCCCGTGTGTGCCCAGGCAGTGGGCACTCCCTGGCCCTCGAGGCGTGCTGTGGGCCCGTGTGTGCCCAGGCAGCGGGCAGTCCCTGGCCTTCGAGGCTTGCTGAGGGCCCGTGTGTGCCCAGGCAGTGGACAGTCCCTGGCCCTTGAGGCATGCTGAGGGCCGGTGTGTGCCAGGCAGCGGGCAGTCCCTGGCCCTCGAGGCGTGCTGAGGGCCGGTGTGTGCCAGGCAGCGGCAGTCCTTGACTCTCGAGGCGTGCTGAGTGCCTGTGTGTGCCCAGGCAGCGGCAGTCCTTGACTCTCGAGGCGTGCTGAGTGCCTGTGTGTGCCCAGGCAGCGGGCAGTCCCCTGCCCTGGAGGCGTGCTGAGGGCCCGTGTGTGCCCAGGCAGCAGGCAGTCCCTGACCCTCGAGGCGTGCTGTGGGCCCTTGTGTGCCCAGGCAGCGGGCAGTCCCTGGCCCTCGAGGCTTGCTGTGGGCCCGTGTGTGCCCAGGCAGCAGGCAGTCCCTGACCCTCGAGGCGTGCTGAGGGCCCGTGTGTGCCCAGGCAGGGGGCAGTCCCTGGTCCTCGAGGCGTGCTGTGGGCCTGTGTGTGCCCAGGCAGTGAATGAAGAGATCCACTTAGCCAGCTGCTGTGTGAACAGAGCAGGATACGCTTAAGGCTTAGAAAAAGAGAGGGAAGCGCAGTAAGGCAAAGGGGACTTTGGGGGCTCTATTTTCAGATGAGCTAAAACCTGAAAGCAGCAGCTTCACCGGAAAGGAAGTACATTGGGCTTTGAATGGAAAAGTCCAGGCGGAGGGCTGGCTTCAGCTGTGTTTGGATCCAGGGGCTGGAACCCTGTGTTCAAGATGGACAGAGCGAGCACTTCATTCACTGGCAGTGATTTTCACCTGTTGTAGGAAGCGATGGACAGTGGCCTTTCCTGAACAGTGGCCATACCAAGTGCAGACATCACTCCTGCTTTTCCTTCCTGGTGTCAAAGGGACAGCTCACTGCTTCTCCAGGAATACCCGGAGCTTGCAAAGACTTGCCTCTCAGAGGATCTGAAGTGAGGGCAGGAAGGGGTCTCTCTCTCTCTCTCTCTCTCTCTCTCTCTCTCTCTCTCTCTCTCTCTGGATCCTCTTCTTCTCACCAACCTTCCCTTCAGCTTTGGACCCTTCTTGACTTTTTGTTTATTTGTTTTTCAAGACAGGGTTTCTCTGTGTAGCCCTAGCTGACCTGGAACTCACTTTGTAGACCAGGCTGGCCTCGAACTCATAGAGATCCGCCGCCTGCTTCTGCCTCCCAATTGCTGGGATTAAAGGCGTGTGCCACCACCGCTCAGCCCTTCCTGACTTCTTTGTCTTTCAGCGGAAAAGCCTGGCACATGGCAGACGACACACGGAGGCAAAGAGAGTCCGTCTCTCTCACACCTGTGGCCCATGGCCTGGAGAACATGGGGGCTGAGTTCTTGGAAAGCATGGTCTGTTGGCTTCCCCGTAGCGCCCCCTTGGCTTGACCACGGCTCACGGGTGGGAGGGGCCTTGGTCTGCCTGCTTCCCTCACTCTGTCCCACTCACCTCTGCACACAGAGCGCCCCTCCCCCAGCACAAAGCATATCCTTTATTTCACCCCTTAAAAAGTGGGTCCTGAGTACCCACTGTGTGCTGCCTTGCCTGTCTTCACCTGAAAGGTCAGCAAAGGTCCCAGCAGGGAAGAACATTTGATCCACAAGAAGAGGAGAGAGGCAGATGATGGGGGGGGGTGGTTTGAAGAAGCCTCAGCTTTCAAAGAACTTGCAATCTTGTCTTGGCTCCCCAAAGGCCAAGCTGAGGACCACATCTCCAACTGTGAAGCCTAATCTGATATCATCCGTTCCCCCTCTTTCCTAACAAGACTCCCTCTCCTTTACTAATAACACATGGACAGTGAGGCAAGAGGTGCCCTGGAGTCATATAGGGGATGGACCTGCTGGGACCTCCTTAGGTATTTCCGTCTGGTCTCCAGGAAGGCACCGTGTGTCTGAACATAGTAGGTGCCCAATGCGTGCTTTGCGGAATTTAGTTAAGGAGCCTCCTATTTCCCATTCAGGAGCCCAGTCTCTGTGTCCACTCATGAGGTGCCTGTGTGTGCAAGGTGGCTTTCCCATCTCCATGCCCTTCAGCCACGGCTGTCTCCTGGTGGAAAGCCTGGCCCTGACTGCTCCCTGCTGGTTTTAGGAGGAAGGCCAGCTCCCGTGTGGTAACTCAAGCCAGTCATCCGAGGGCAGAGGCAGCTGGAACAAAGCAGAGACGAAGCCCAGATGGTAGGTGATCTCTGTGAGGGACCCAGATGGTAGGTGATCTTTGTGAGGGACCCAGATTGTAGGTGATCTTTGTGAGGGACCCAGATGGTAGGTGATCTCTGTGAGGGACTCGGGGTCACAGGAAAAGAGGATGAAAGTCTGTCCAAAGGAAGTCCAGGGAAGGGAGTTCTGCAGGCCTCTGCCTCAGGGGCGAGCCAGGCCCAGGCGCCCACCTGTCTGCTTGTGAGCAGCCAGGATGTCATCCCAGTAGGAAGCCCAATGCGTACACGGGGCTTCTCAGGCCCGGAACTGGCCAGGCCTCCCTGCCACCTCCTCCTTTGCCATTTAGTTGCTGAGCTACCTTGGGGACTCCAAGACTAGGTTTGTGACACTCCTGGCCTGGGCCAGACTCCCCACTGTATTCAGAGAGGAAGGGGCCAACCCACAGGGTCTGGTGTGAGCCTAGAGGGTCCTGGCTGGCCAAATCCAGCTCTGAGCAGAGCAGGAAGGACACCCCAAGGACAGGGTGTGGCAGTCAGGGGGTCCTCTAGCTTCTTGGGGGGACTAGAGAAGATGCCCTGTTTCCCCCAGGTGGGGAACTCTTGCGACATCAGCAGAGGATTGAATGTTAGGAGCAACGAGGCGCTTGGCCAGCAGGGCCCTAGGGGAGATGTGGGTAGCAGCCCTTCCTCCAGGGACAGGCAAGTGACCAGCTGGCCAGAGGACTAGTGTCTATTCTGGACACCCGCGGCAGTGGGGTGGCCGGCTGCATACTTTTACGTGTCTTGTCTCTTGAATAGGCACTGAGGACTCAGACAATAAATGTTCCTGTCCCAGGGGAACCAATACAGAGCTGGGAGTCTCCATCTTGCTCACTGGGCAGGTGGAAGCAGGGAGGAGGTCGGACAGCCATGGTCGTACTTTTCTGAATGCCCATAAGCCTCTAGCTGTGGGTTAGTTCCCTCTGTCACCCAAGAGCAGGGCCAGCCTTGCAAACCTCAGCATGTGCAGAACCATGGCATGTGTCTTTTGACTATGGCTGCTTCCCAGCCTTGTCAGGTAGCAAGGCCAGCCTGGGCTTATCCCATTACTGCACTGGGAACATACCTGAGGAGCTTCTACCTGCTGGTTTGGGGGCTCTCCAGTGGGGTGGAAGTTGGGGGCCACTTATGAACGCTGGCGGTCCTCTCCTCAGGAGGAGCCTGCAGCTGGCCATGCGGATGAGAAGCTTGTACAGGGAGCATAAGCAGCTGTCTGAATGGGTCCTCACAGGCCTGCTCTGTACGGGTAAGTGGGGACCCACCGTGCCCCATTCCTGAGACAGCCACTGCCCCTCTAGTCTCCGCATCACAGAGCAGGCTCATTCACTCACCCCACCAGCCTGTAAGGCTCATTCACTCACCCCACCAGCCTATAAGGCTCATTCACTCACCCCACCAGCCTATAAGGCTCATTCACTCACCCCCAATAAGGTTTGCTGAAGCACCCACTCGGCCAGCTCAAGAGAGGAGCTCAGGTCTCCATCAAACCTAACTGGATCCCATTCCCAACGAGCAACAGAGATGCCCAAATACGCTCACACGGTGCAATAAGCCACCTGGGAGGATGGTAACCTTCAGAGCTACGGTCTTGGACCAGCTAGGTACAGGGGAGGGCAATGACACTTGAGACCCTCCCCTACCCCACCCCTCAAAGCACAACGGTCAGGGAGCAAAGGTGAAAACCGGCAGGGTGTGGGCTGTGATAGTCTAGTGTGGCCCGAGGGTAAAGTTTCTGCAGGGTGCCCACCCAGCCTGAGTCTCCTGAGGCTGGAGGACTCTGAAGGGCCTGGTAATCGGGAGCGAGGGAGGCAGGTGATGTGGTCAGGAACTTGGATTTGACCCTGATGTCCAGAGACAGGCATGGAAGGATTTACACGGAGAATTGTCCAGACATGTTGACATCATACCGTGAGACCAAAAATGGTTGCAGGAGAGACGGGGGATCTGAGAATCAAGGGAGTGACTGGTGCTTGCTGAACCTGGGAAGTGACAGTGCGGGCAGGATGGAGGAGGTCTCAGGTTAAGGCTCCTCAGCTTCCTGCTTGGAGGACGGGGGGTTGGGTAGAAACAGGACATGATAGTTCCTTCCACAGAGGACAGGTGGAGGAGGTGGTCTCCACAGGGAGGGAGAAATCAAAGCCACTTTCTAGGGGTAGAATTTCTAAGCCATGGGCAGATGCAGTCCTTTTCAAAGGGTCTTCACAGAGTGATTTGAGAAATGAGTTAGGGGCGGGAAGTCTGGGACCAGCTACATATAAAGAGCTTGCAGAAGCCAAGGGCTTCAAAAGGGAAGGATCAACAGTTCGTCCACAGAGGGCCAGGGATAAGGGCTGAGCAGTGTCCACTGATTTAGGGACAGGGATGTAAAGGTAGCGTTAGAGTCTCATGCCTATAATTTCAGCAATCAGGAGTCTAAGGCAGGAGGATTGCCATGACTTCAAGGCTAGCCTGCACTACACAGTGAACTTTAGGCCAGCCTAAGCTACAAAGTGAGACTCTGTCTCAAAAACCAACAAAAATATTTCTCCAAAGCTTTAGTCATGTGCACTCACCGGTGGTCTTCCCTGCCGGACCCCTCATCCATCCCTGTTTTTTATTGCAGGATCTCACTATGTAGCTCTGACTGACTTAGAATTCATTGTGTAGGCCAGGCTGGCCTCAAACTCACAGAGATTGGCCTGCCTCTACCTCCTGAGTGCTGGGATTAAAGGTGTGCACCACCACCACCCAGCTCAGCCCTGTGTTCTTGTTGGGAGACAGTTTGAACGTATTTCTGAGCTCAGGAGACTTTTTAGAAAGAAGATGAAATAATGACATGCTGGTGCCTGGAAGATGGGAGGAAAGGCTAGCCTCATCTATATAGTGAAGTGGAGGCCAGCCTGGGCTACATTAGTCCTTGTCTCCAAAAGCTGCTCGGTCAGGAAGATGGTGGCTCAGTGGCCAAACACACTTGTCACTCAAGTCTGAGGACCTGAGTTCTGTCCCTGACACCCAGGTAGGTGTGGAAGGAGAGAGCGGACTCCCAGAAGTTGTCCCGTGACCTCCACACCTGTGCAGTGGCACCTGCCAGGTGCCACCCCATGATAAATTCCAGTTTTCTTTTTAAGTGGCCTGGGGCTGCAGCTCACTCAGTAGGGATCTCACCGTGTGTGTGTGCACAGAGCCCTGGGTTCAATGCCAGCACTACACAAAACAGGGCGTCGGCACGTCCTGGACTTGCAGCACTCGGGAGATGGAGGAGGCTAGGTCAGAACTCAAGGTCACCTTTGGCTACGTGCTGAATTGTTTGCCCTCATGGGCTATGAGATCCTGGACTTGTTTGGTTGGCTAGGGTTGTAATTCAAGGTTGTCTTGGCTCCAGGAGGGAGGGGAGGAAGGAGGCAGGTCTTGCAGCTGGAATGGGTAAGGAATGTCCTGCTCCGTGCGAGCTCCCTAGTGAGAGAAGGGGAACTTCATTTGTTCAGCTTGATTAACTTCAAGTCTGTCATCTCTGGAGTGACCGGAGCTTGGTTTCTGTGACTCTGGACTGTCCTTCAGAACCTTTCTCCAGCCGGCCCTCGCCACGACCGGTCCTCAGTGTCTGCCGACCCCGTCCACTTCTGTGACTGTCCTAGCTTCTCTCAGGGCGGGTGACCCTGGTGTCTCCTTTCTCCAGGGTGCACCCGCCCTGGGCTCCCACCTCCCCACCTCTCCGCACCACTGCAGGGCTTTTCCAGAGCCTCTGTGCTTGCCGTGGGGTGCAGTGCTCGCGAGGTCTGCCTACCTGCAGGCCATGCACAGCATTCCTCTCTGAAGGGCCGTGCTCTGTTGGGACTCCTCTCAGGAAGCAAGGCCTAGGGTCCCTCAGCTTGCCGAGCCGCAAACGCCCTGGGCTTGGGCCAGTTTGTGAGGTCCACGCCTCAACCTTCCGGTCCGGCCCCAGGACCCTTGCTGAGCCCCGCTCTAAGTAACCTGAGAGCAGGTGGCAGGGTAAGGTGAGACTCACATTTCCTTGAACTGCTTTGTCTCACATTTCCCATTGGTGGCCAAGTCCTTTCCCCTCTTCAAGAGCCTTGGATTTTGAAACTCAAAAGCCAGGGAGAAGCGTTCCCCCTGAGCTAAGGTCACGTTCCTTTTCTGAGGCAGCCGCTCAGACTGGCTCAGTGGCCCACAGGAGAGTCAGGCCAGGCACGAGGGAACTCTAGGGGTAAGCTGTTGGTGGTGAGGCTGGGGGGCGGCTCCACCAGTGCAGCGCTTGACACACAGGACCCCAATATCCACGTGGAAAACTCCATCATGAGTGTCCTCTGAGGGAGGAGACGTATCAGTGGTGTTGTGGGGTGTCCGCCAGAGAAGACGGCGGGGACACGGGTTCAAGCCAACAGCACGTCTTTATTAGCCAGCCAGCGACTACCCTGGGTGTCGGGATCCCAGTGTAGTCCCCAGTCATTCTCAGGGTGAGCTTTTAAATGCAAAAACCATGTCCTGGGTTGACACGCTTCAGTTAACAAGAACAATGAGCCAGAAGCGGAACTACAGAAGCCCCAAAGCAAGGTTAGTCCATTCAGAGACTTTCCCAGAGCTGTGGCCCTTGATAGGTTAGATCTCTGCTTTCGTTTTGGCAGGTGGTGCTGTCTGTGTGCTGAGTGTTATGGCCTGATGTCATGGTGTCATTCCATCATGAAGTCAGTTGTGCTAAGGCCTGGGGCCCTGTTACAGTGGAGTTCTTAATACTATGGGCAGGCAGCGTGGCCGGGACTGGATGAGTGCAGGCCCAGGAGACAGAGTGGGGTTCCTTCTCTTAGAGCAGTGGTTCTTAACCTTCCCAATGCTGCGACCTTTTAATACAGTTCCTCATGTCACGGTGACCCCCAGCCATAAAATTATTTTCATTGCTACTTCATAACTGTAATCTTGCTACTGTCGTGAATCATAACATAAACATCTGATATCCAGGATATTTATGACCCACAGGTTGAGAACCACTGTCTTAAAGGTTTCAAAGAGAGGAGGACAGTCACGTGCCAAGAAGTTAATGAGTCGTCAATAATATGCGCTTGTAGTCAGGTTGCCTGGGCAGCAGGGGAAGAGGATCCTCCTTAGCCACCAGGGTCACAGCAGGGGGGCCTTATCGAGTTCCCAGAGTCAAGTAACCCGAGCTTGCTGAGCCCTTAGAAATGAGGATTGCAGACCCACAGACCTAGTGGGGTGCCTGCCATTTCTGTGAGAGCAGAGAGTGTGGCCTAAACCTAACAACCCTATGTACAAGCAGGCACCCACACATACATAAACACGCATGCACACACTACAGCACACACACACACACACACACACACACACACACACACGAGGGAGGGAGGGAAGGAGAAGAGAGAGAGATCATTGATTAACAGTCTAGGGTGGAGGCACAATCTTCTGGAGTCATGGAGTCACTGACTCACCCAGCCTGGTCCTCGAGACCTAGCACGGCTCAGGCCAGGTGCTCTGTTGAGGCCCATTGTGTTGTTTCAGTCTCTCTGTCTCTGTCATCACTTTCTAAGGTGCAAAGGCCTTTTTCACACATTTTACCAGGGCCATGCTGGGCAAGCCTCCACCGCTGAGCTGTGCCCCCAGGCCCCTAATAACCTTCTGACACAGTAGCGACAAGTGTTTTCACTTCTGGATGAGGAAAGCGAGGAGGAACTGAGTGACTTCCCTGCCCCGAATGCTCCGGGCAAGCGAGGCAGAGCCAGGGTTTAGAGCGGCGGTCTTCCCCTGCTGAGCCGGCCAATGTCTCCTCCCGCAGCTTACATTGCCTTCCTGATCACCGCTTGCCTGCTGGACTTCCAGAGGGCCCTGGCGCTGCTGGTCATCACCTGTGTGGTTCTCGTCTTTCTGACCTACGGTCTGCTGAAGAGGCTTCTGGGGCCCAGGCTGAGGAGGTGTGGGAAGTTTCAAGGCCATTCCCGCCTGAGCCTCTGGCTGAAAAGGTGAGTGAGCCCTCAGCCGCTGGCCTCCTAGGGGAATGCGTCCCACTCCGCCTGTCCCCTGGAGCCCTGGGCAGAGAGAGGTGCTTGGCGGCTTCAAACAGCAGCGGCCAGCTCTGGCATTTTGCCAGTTTTTGTGATGCAAAGGTAACTGAGAGCTAAAGCCAGGCTGGTCAGAGTTTTCTGAATTCAAGAGCCTGGCCACTAAGCACAGAGGCCTTTCCATGATGTCTTATTAGGTGGATCACCCGGGGCTAGGTTATCAGCCAGCTGCAGAGATCACAGATGCCTGGGGACATCCCTGGAGCCCAGTTCAACAGGCTAGGTTGGGCCATGTGCCAACACTTTAAATTAGCCCCCAGGGGATTCTGATACAATTAGCCATGTCTCTGAATAATAGTTTGGTGTTTAATCCCTGGAGTCCCTGGTGGAAAGAGAGAGCTAACTCCCAAAAGTTGTTCTTTGACTTCTACATGCATGTACACACACAGAGACACAGACAGAGACA